CACCCCCTGCAGCCCCAGCCCTCGGGCTCCCCCCCACCAGTGCTGACTCCACCCACTCCACCCTCGCCTCCAGCCGGTCCGGTTCTGGCAGGGTCGGGGTAAGCAGCGGGGCTCCCGGGCCGTGCCTCAGCTCAGGGTCCTTCCATCCAGGACTGGCCGGGACCGGGAGGGCAGAGCTGGGGGACGGCCTTGGTAGGGAGCTGAGGAGCCAGGGCAGGGTAGCCCCAGAGGGAGCAGAGCCCTGGAGAGCGGGATGCGGGCCCCGCATGGCAGCGCCCCGCCCTCTATGGCCCCACTGCTGCTTCTGGCGGCCCTCCCACAGTCCCTGGGCGGCTTGGGCTACTTTGCCCAGCCCCGGCTACGGCGCTGGGTGGGGAGGGGGAGGGGGAGGGGGCAGCCACCCTGCAGCACCTGCAGGCAGCTCCGTGTGGCCCGCGGGGCAGCCCCCAGCCTGAGTGTCCCCCGCTCGGAGCCTACCAGCCCAGCCACAAGGTGCGGCACTGCTGCTGCCAGGGCCGGTTCTAGGCTTTTGCCGCCTGAAGCAACAACAACAACAACAACAAAAACCCAAAACAAAACAAAAAAGAGGCCGGAATGCTGCCCCTGAAAATGTGCCGCCCCAAGCAACTGCTTGGTTTGCTGGTGCCTCGAGCTGGCCCTGCTACTGCCTCATCCACTCACCTACATGTTTGCTTGGAGGAGATTCTCAGAGTGCTGTTTCCACTCAATCAATCGCAGTGTAACTGAGAATCAGTCCCTTAAGTCTCTAAATTATGCACTGCTAAGCAGGAGACAACTGAGTTTTTTGGGTAAGCTGCCATTGCCTTCCATGCTAGCTTCTGCCTTTGGCTTTTGATTGGTTCAGAGGAGCCTCGGCTGACCTTTCCCAGCCTCCTTTCTGAAGAAGTTGGCTCTCTGTTGCTTTCATAACTGGATAGGAAGGCTGAGGTCATGTGACTTTGCCCCTCAAATTACAGACAATTGTCTTGCATGAAATTGCCTTTTTACTGAGTAATGTAATGTCCAGCACAGCCAGGACTTATTATAATTACATCACTAGTTTCCTTAGGGAGCAAAGCCTTTCTGAACCATAGCTTCTTAGCTTGAGGTAAAACCACGGCTGGGAGAAACAGACACGTACTCTCCCGGCCTGAGAGGAGGCTTAAGTGCTCAATGCCAAAATTATCAGAGAATAGTTCTCTCACAGAGCCTGTGTTTGTGGTCACATATGGGTATCCCAGGGTAGGGAAGTCTAGCAAGAGTGCCTGGAAGAAATGCGTGGTGGAAACAAGCAGTTGGTAAGAAAACAGAAGATTAAATAGTACTTTCCCCTTGGTTGCTCTGAGCGGCTTGACAGCTGCACCATCTGGAGGGAGAGATGTTAAACAGACCTCCTTTCAGAGTGTGTCCCAGTACAGAACTAAGGATTAGAGGAGTTGTCCTGCACACAAGACCTTAAAATGCCTGGGGTACTTTCAAACTGTTATATGCACGCTAGAGATCCTGGCCATGACTGGTATCCTAATCAAGCAGGTTTTGTTGTCTATCATGCTACATGAGCAATGGCTGGACCACATAATAGTTGCCTGCACAGTTAGTATCTATGCATAGCCCTGTGTCATAA